ATGTAGTTAGTATACAGGAAGAATGTAGTAATTGTTACTCAGATGGCTTTGAGCATGAAATAATTGCAAATCGTTACATCCGAGTTAGATTTTATTAACCACAAAAATGTACTTGCTTCAATACTGCAATTTGAGGTGCCAATGAGCTTGGCATATTACAATTAAAGTAACGTGCTATATTAAACTTTCAATTTCCATTTCTCGACTGCTTATTATTGAGAACGACATATCCTAAATCATTGTATGCACAAGCATTGTAGATAATTTCTTGTTCATGTACATTTTTGTGATTCCTTCCTTTCATTCCGCTAACCACTTACTTGCACACTTCTTTCCTTCATTGTCCTCCCGCTTTATTCCCCTTGTAAACTGGAAGCTCTATCGTCCTAATTTGGAATTCCTTCCAGTGCCCTCTCTCTTCCTCCTTCTCTCTGTCTCTCTCTCTCTCATCTTTCGCCAGTCCGCTCACCTTGCCGTTGCTGGACCGCTGCACTGATCGCGGCGGCGGCGGCGGCGAGCTGCTCACCTCGGAAATCGGCGAGAAAGCGGCGATGGGGGCGGCGGCGTCCTTCGCGAGCGGCCCGCGCTCCGGTCTGCGGCGGGAGGGGCGAGGGGGAGGAGGGGCGGGGGTTACGTAAAGCGGGCAGCGGGCGCGAGATGTCGAGCGCGATATACGTGGGCCGCCGACTGCACTTTCTAGCCGCCGCCCCCTCGCCCCTGACTCCGCCCCCGCCATCGCCTGCGCCGCTGCGCGCAACACCACCCGCGTCTCCGCCGACGGAAAGCCGGCTTCGCCGCTCGCGGCCCACGCCCCGACCGCTCGTCAGCTGTTGCGGGCGCCGGGAGCCTCTTGCAGCTGCATCATCGTTGCGAGCCCCGCCTCTTATTGGTAGGCTTATTAAAGGAATCGCCCCACGTTCTTCATCTTTTCCTCCTTCTTTTTCCTACTTTTCCTCCAGTCTGTTTCTCTTTTTATGCGTCATTTTTTTTGTTTCATTTCCTTTTCTCCTCCTCTTCCTCCTCTCTCTCTTCCTCCTCCTCCTCCTCCTCTTTTGTCTCTTTCTTCTTTATCTTCTGCTACCTTTTCTTCTTCTGATTCATGTCCTTTTTCAACTGATTTTTCTCATTCAATTCCGTTAACGATATGTTAACAATACAGTAAACAGAAATTTTAGTTTTCTAAGCAATTTTGAAATGGGGACGAACAATTAGTATAATTAGATGTTTTTGATTATTTGATGTTCCTTTCCATGCATCAATCATAAAGTGAGAATATTCGTACTCTAAGCAGTATTCCACTACACAACCTCGTTTCAGGTTATAGAAAGACTGCCTCGCCTTGATTTTTCACGTGCTCAAGTCTTTCTTTAGCTCTTCCTCCTCCTCCTCCTCCTCCTCCTCTCCCTCCTCTTCCTCCTCCTCCTGTCCTAGCTTCACTGCCTCCTGCCACCGAATCGTTTTAATAGTTTCCTTTTCATTGCCACCGCATGCGTTCGCGCACTCTTGTCACCTTGTTCGTGTTTGCGCCTCTTCCACTCATTGGTCTGCAGAGCGCCAAATCGCCGTTGCAACGGCCTTCGCCGCCAGTCCAGTTCCCCCGCGCCTTCATTCTGAGCTGCTCGGGCCGTGCGCTGCACCTGGCCGCTTGCTGGCTTCCCAGGGACAGAGTGCTGCAGTGAGGGTTGCCACTTGCGAGATGGAAGCCACCCGGAGATAATTAATTACCGGGGGGGG